AGGAGGAGATTGCCCCTCCTTCTCCAGCAGAGCAACTGGTGGATTCGAAGTGTGAGCCTCTGGGACTGCAGTGCAGCTTCTTGTCACTAGGCCACCAAAGCTCCCTTCTTGTTGATTTAAAAAAATAACAACAACAAAACCAAACCTTAAAAAATAGGTGATGCACCAATGTGTAAGATCTAGGAAAAATGTCTTTAAATCACTAATTACATAGAATGTTTTTTTGTGGAATGTGGAAGCATTTTGCAGGCTCAATCCAACAAATAAGAAAGCTGAGAGAGCAATCTTCCCTCAGAGGGTTTCAATCTATGTGCGTAATACTAAAGAGTTTTCATGCTTTTTAAGTCCTGTTAATTTTCATACAAGGAGCCCTGGTGATGCATTGGTTAAAGTGTTTAGCTGTTAACTAAAAGCTCAGTAGTTCTAACACACTAGTAGGTCTATCTTAGAAAGATGTGGCAGTCTATTTCTATAAAGATTTACAATCTTGGAAACCTATATAGACATTACAGCCCTGGAAACTATGGCATAGTTCTCTGTCCTACAGGGTTACTATCTATCTGCTAGAATCGATTTAACAATGAGTTTGATTTGGTTTTGGAACTTTTACAGAAAGTAATTGGTTAAAAACAACTTAGTTGACTAATGAAATTTCAACTCATTGAGCAAATTCAAATAATTCTTTGAATTATTTATAATAATAATTTGAAGAACATCGAGGAAGCCTATTTTACAGAATTATGAAGAAAAAAATATTACTTTCAGAAAGAAAACTGCTTTGTATAAATGTCTTAATCACATGCCCATGTTGACCAAATTAGTAAACCCCAATAAACTGTTCTTGATGCCACAAACCATAAAATAAGAGGGTCTGTGATTATCTCCACATGCCTACCGGGCATGATCTACAACGTCAAAAGATCTTTCTAATATAAGGCCACAAAATTTATCAGACATCAGACTATCTTAGTGTTGGTAGGGTCTCTACAGAAACAATTTAACTATCCCATTATTTCAGGGGCCTCAGAGTGGGAAAGGTCAGGATAGTAAGGGGTCTGAAGAGGTCATCTGGTCTCTTTCCTTTGGAGCAGGACCACCTGGAACCCCATTCAAAGAGCTCTGCCTGTTCCATGCAGGAGCTAATCTTTCTTGTATCTTTCCATTTATATCCTCTTTTTTTGGTGGCAGAGTTTGTAGGGAGTAGCACTGCTAGCCCAAAAGCTGTGCCTCTCTGGTGATATGAATTCACCCCCAGCTCCTCAGGAGAGAGATGGACAATCTCTTCCTATGAGATTTAAAACCTTTGGAAACATGCGGGAGGACCAGCTAAGAAGTAGGTTCTGACTTGATGGGAATGAGTTGAGTAAATTCGTCTTTTGGGAAGAATTTTAGTTATATTTTTGGGTTATCTTGCTGGATATATTGCTTGCTAAATAAAAGGCTGGCTGTTGAAACCCAACCACTACTGCTCCATGAGAGAAAGCTGTGGCAGCCAGCTTCTGTAAGGTTCACAGCCCAGGAAACCTAGGAGTCGAAATCAGACTCAGAGGCAATGGGTTTGGTTTAGGCTTTGGAAAGTTGTTCTTTTCCACTCTATTTGTTGTTTCTGTAACCTTCTACATAGACCCTTGAAGCAGTGTAACAGAAGGAAAAATGTCTCTAAATAAACGGAACCGTCCTATCACCATAAGAAACACCAGTAGCAATAATCAGCACCATGCCCTCACAACAGTTCATTTAGTTATCTAGAAAATAGGGAAGCTGGGCTAAATGCCATTCCTTGTCAGATACAGATACTATAGTTCTACAAGTCAAATTTGGTTCGAGCTTAGTCTTAGTTTGCAAGCATGCTCTGAATTCTTTCAGGAAATAAAGTCTAAGAATCTTATTAACGTTTCACAAGAACGCTGGGAAGCTAGTCTTATATGCATGGTCAAGCACAGTAAATCTCTCTCCTAGAGCCATCAAATTAGTGTATTTCCTGATCTTTGGATAATTTGTGCTGCTTTGAGAAATCTTGTCCACAGTACACAAATAAGATAAAATCTAAAGCAAAAAAAAAAAATCATGAAAACTACTTGTCAGATCATACATGCCAGAAAAAGAGTTTCATATTAACTGCTGTTGTGAAAAACCACACTTATCTTGACAAGGAGATGAAATCCATTAAATGGGTAAAAGACACTGTCTTTAACAAATCGTACTGGCAAAACTGGATGTTTTCAACAAAAAAGGTGGCGTCATGCTCTGAAGATGACTCAACAACTTGCATTATGCAGATAACACAATCTTGCTCTGTGAAAGTGTGGAGGGCTTGAAGTGCTTGCTGCAGAAGATCAAAGACTAAAACTTTCAATATGGATTACACTTAAACATCAAGAAGATAAAATTCTCAGCACTGGACAGATAGGCAACATTGTGATAGATGGAGAGAAGACTAAAGTTGTCAATGATTTGATCTTATTTGGATCCACAAGCAATACCCTTGGTACCAGTGGTGAGGAAATCAAGATGCATCTTATACAAAGCACTAAAAATGAACAATGATGTCAGTTTAAAAACTAAAGTGTATCTGAATCAAGCCATGGTCTCCTCAATTACTTGCTATGCATCTGAAAGTAGGACAGTGATTAAGGATTACAGAAAAACTGATGCCTTTGAGTTGAAGTGTTGGAGAACAGTACTGAATATCCCATGAATTGCCAAGAGAACAGAGGGATATGTCTCAGAGAAATTGAAACCAGAGTATTCCATGGAGGTAAGGATGTTGAAGCTTTGTTTCATATACTTTGAGCATGTTAGGAAAGGCTATTCCTTAGAGAGGAACATCATACTTGGAAAGGTCAGTGAACGAGAGGAAGACCCTCAATCAGATGGTTTGGTATAATGTCTGTGGCAACGGGCTCAAGTGTGTCAGGGATTACAAGGATGGCTTATCATTCCTGATAAGGACATATCTGATAGCTTGGTCTTAAGAATTTTTACATATGTTGTTGGTCTTCTGAGTGCTTGTTTTGGTTAAATGTTTCTATCTTCTGCCCATATTGGAAACTCTTTTTTTTTTTTTAGTGAGATTTTTATTTTCTATAAACTATCAGATATATCATTGACAAATATTTTTTATAATCTATAAGTTTTCTTTTTACACTTTTAGAAAAGTCTTTTGATCTACATATTGATATAATTTTTAAGAAGTTCCTATAATCTAGCTTTTATCCTCTGTTAAATGTACATTTTACTTACATTTGACACTATTACTATGCCAGAGACTGATATTATTGCTATATGCCATTAAGTTGAGGACAACTTGCAGTGACTCAGTGAACAACAGATCTGAATCTTATCCTGTACCACCCTCATCACATCTGACATACTTAGCCCATTGCCTTCTGACAACATGCCCAAAATATGTGAGATGAAACCCTGCCATCCTTGCCTCTAAGGAGCACTCTGGTTGCACCTTCTCTAAGACATTATCTGCTTATTCTTTAGACATTCCATGGGATATCCAGTACTCTTCTCCAACACCACAACCTAACGGCTTCAATTCTTCTGTCATCCTTATTCAATGTCATCCATAGAGACACTTGTATTACAGAAGGAAAGATGATTAGATATTATTAGAAGTATTAAGCTCTATAGATCAACCCTGGAAGCTATGAGGGTAAGGAGAACTGAAATGAGAAACTTTTTGTTTCAAGGCCCCAGAAATTGATGGCATATCAATTGACTTATTTCAACAAACAGATGCTGCCCTGGACGTGCTCACCAGGTTGTGCCAAGAAATCTGGAGGACAGCCACCTGGCCAACTGACTGGAAGAGATCCATATTTATTCCCATTCCAAAAAAGGTGACCCAACAGAGTGTGTAAATTACTGAATAATATCACTAATGTCACATGCAAACACCTTGCTGAAGATTACTGAAAAGTGACTGGAACAGTATATCGATAGAGAACTACCAGAAATACAAGCTGGGTTTAGAAGAGGTCTTGACACTAGAGACATTATCGCCAATGTGGATCATGGCAGAAGATACCAGAGGAATGTCTATCTGTGTTTCTTTCGTTGACTATGCAAAAGCATTTAACTTTGTGGATCACAACAAACTGTGGATAACTCTGGGAAGAATGGGAAGCCCAGAACACTTGATTGTGCATATCTGAAACTTAAACCAGGAAGCAGTGGTCAGAACAGAGCAAAGAAACACTGCATGGTTCAAAATCAGGTAAGAAGTGAGTCAGGGATATAGCCTGAGTCCATTCAATCTCTATGCAGAACAGATCATTCAGGAAGCTGGGTTTTATGAGGAAGAATGTGGCATCAAGATTAGAGGAAGACTCATCAAAAACCTATATTATGCAGATGACACAACATTGCTTGCTGAAACTGAGGAAAACCTGAAGCACTTGCTGCAGAAAGTCAAGGACTGTAGTCTTCAATATGGATTGA